ATAAGAGTATAAGAGTATAAGAGTATAAGAGTATAAGAGTATAAGAGTATAAGAGTATAAGAGTATAAGAGTATAAGAGTATAAGAGTATAAGAGTATAAGAGTATAAGAGTATAAGAGTATAAGAGTATAAGAGTATAAGAGTATAAGAGTATAAGAGTATAAGAGTATAAGAGTATAAGAGTATAAGAGTATAAGAGTATAAGAATATAAGAATATATTTTACTATTACACTCTTCCATATAAGAGAGAAACAAAAAGTCTACTTTTAGTTAATTAAATAGAACACTTGAACTTGATATACTTTTTCCTATCTTCTACCGAATTGTTTACTATATGTAGTATATGTGTTTTTATAAGATAGTCAAATAAACCCATAGCTACTGTTATGTCAATTTGGATAAGACTGTTTTCGAGAGCAAAAAATCTCTAATTTGGTGGACAACCTTATCCAAATATGAGCTACTGAAACTGAAAATTCTCCGCTAGCCAAAGTAAATAATTTCGAATTCATAATGTCGCAAGCTTCGGCCCAGATTATACACATTATATATATCATTTAGCGAGTATAATAGGATAGTATGTGGGTTTTGTTTTCTGTCACCTTTCTGTATTCTTATCGTAATGCAACCTTAAATAACATTAATATTAATGGCTCAAATTAAAACCCCCCGCAATAACTGTAATCAAGTGAACTATATGCGATATGCCAGTTAACGATTGTGAATTCTCGTCACGAGTCGCTCGTGCCTAAAGTCTGTAAATATTTGCTCGAGAACGTATACACGAAGCAGATCATAAATTATATATGCCGCAGTGTAGTAGATCAAGGGGGATCTACAGAGGGAAACTTTAATAGCTGTCAAAATATAACTGTGATTAGATTTATAATCAATGACAATGATAAGTTTTGTCACCTAATTAAACCCCTCTAAAACAGTTTGAGACGCCTCTGCATTTAAAGGGAAAGAAAGTACTTCAGTCTTTATCTAAAAAAAAACCATTGCAAATGCTTTTACATTCCAATTATCAAGACAGACATAAACAAGTCTCAGATAATGCCAAGGCACAGGTTGAGTTCAAGATAAAAGCCGAAAGAGAGAGAGAGAGAGGGCGATGCCATAGCCAATCCTCAACTGCCAAATAGAATCTGTGTTATCAAGACGTCGACACAACATGGAAATTATGTTCGCCTCGGCTGGAATCGTCATAATGTGCAATTATCTCTTATCTGCAAGTCTGGCGAAATGCTTCATAGATGAATGGTGCCTACTTAATAACGATCGCCATAAAGGGAATCAACTTTTATAACACACAGGCCGACTTTGCACTTGGCTAACGCGTGTTTCCCATAGACTTTGGGGTTCTCATTGTCGAATCTACTTTAGATGTCTGGCCAGATGAAACACCATTTGCGCATTTAGGAAGTCATATACTCTGATATTTTCTATATTTATGGCAAATTATATGACGAAAGTTGAAAATTATTTTAAGGAGGATCATAAAAAACTAGAGTCTGAAAAATTTATAATTTTATGAGTCGAGCTGAATAAACGAGCTTTAAGGTTATCAAAGAAAAAGTAGGCAATTGAAAAGAAAATCGAAATATAAATATATATGACTTCTGTTTTTTTTTTTTTTTCAAATTTAACATTTGTTCAACGTGTGTGTACGTAGACTTCAAGTTGATATATATCGTTTTTTTTTATTTTGTATATTTATGGCAGTTCAGATATAATATCTGGAATGCAATTGTATGACATGATAAAGAACTGGAGTCTGGAAACTTTTTAGTTTATGATTGAATTGAATGAGGAAATTAAAGTTATTTATAATTAGTCTTATATAAAAGAAAACAGAGTTGTTTATTTATTTTTATTTTATTTTTATTATTTTTTTATCAATTATAAAATAATAAATAAAACTACCAAAATATTCAGATATTTGCTTCAGGTTTAGTAATGCGCAACTGATTTTATTTCTCAATTCGTAGAATCTCTTTGACATAAGTTCTGCAGACTTTTTAAGAGTGATTTCGAGATTTATAATTTCAATGTTTATGGGCAGCTGTTAAGTATCTAACTAAACAGTAAGTCCAACTGACGTCAATGATCAAAATGCAATCGAAGATAAATTGTCAAATAAATATTTTGTTTGTTGCAGACAAATAGAAAAAGTTTATGATATTTCACTATAAATGATATATTTTATACAGTTTATTGTTGCAGTGTATAAATATATAAAGCTGTTCATAAACTAAACATATATTCTAGACTTGATATCGAAAGCTATCAAATACTATATATAGTAAAGGTATTTGACATAATTATATACATGTGTGTTATTGACAATAGATAAGCTTCGACACATTGTCAAGGTGTCAAAATATTTGCGGAAAGCCAAAACAAATAATTGTCCAATATAAAGAGGTGAAAATAAATAGTGTAAATGTTTGCAGATAATTGAAAATAATTAATTGGGCCCAATTCAATTAGCAGGTAAATTTGTTATGGCTTATAGCACGCTTGTGACGTCCCTGGCTTACTTCGTGACGTCACAGCCGGTCGCGATCGAACTGTGAATTGAATCCGTAATTCAGCTCTAATAAAACCACAAACAACGATTGCGCTATAAATGTGGTACGATTCGAGTTGGATTCAAGTTGGAGTACCTAGGAAGTTGGTCGGTTAAGGTTCTCAAATTTCATACGATGTTGTTGTTGCCTGTTGCATATCAATGTGTCTTTAGGCCAAGCGACTCGCTTTGGCAATTTTTTTTACCAGTTTATCTGGTGTTTCTATCCACTTACAGCTACACATTCGAAAAAAAATGGATTTTACAAAACAACAAATTTATATTTAGAAATAAATGCGTCGAGTCATTGATCGTGTTCGAGGCTGAACTTTGTAGTCTTTTTGGCGTCTTCTGTTGGTCAAGTTGATTTTGACTGGTTGTCGTTGTTGTTGTTGTTTTCAGTTTGTTGACTGCCAATTTCGCCATAGAGTCTAATGGAAAATTACTGGAAATCTTGTTAAACGGCCACAAAATGCAACGAGAGTCGACCCAATGACTCGTGATGTGATCGACCAGCTGTTGGTGCTAGCTATGCCAGTTATCTTCAGTCTCAGCTGTAGTTTGGCAATATGGAGATTCAAGTTGAGATCTTATGATCTAGCTTAGCTAACGTCATCCTGAGTTTGACATATCGTTCAATATTAGCTTTTTAGCCTTCACTGGTTTTTTGAGTTAGATAAACCAACACAATACGGAATTTCTAAAAATAAGTAGAAGTTATATCAAGTTTTCCGATAAACTCTCTCTTTCATAACTGAACCTTAACTAACCCGTATTTTTCCAGCTGTTTCTCGAATGAACCCACACTATCTATCCACAGTGTCTATCTATCCATACGATGCGTAACTGTGTCAAGGTCAATTCATAGTTAGCGTGCTCTATAAGTCGTCAGCATTACAGACTTGCTTACAATGGAACTCATTCTCCGACATTTCTACGTGTTTTGGGTTGACATTTTAACGATTTACAACTATTAAAATGTGCTGGAATTGTAGAGTCAAGGGCTTGGACTTAGTTCAATTGGCCGATCGACGGACGTGTCTGAATACTTTCGGCTCTTATCATGCCACAAGACCCACACGCCCGACTACAATGGGACAAGTGGTCAGTAAATGTGTTTAACAAGCTGTCAACGTTTATATATTCCCCCTTCTGCCCGATATGCGATCCAAAATCGTGCGACTAATCTGGCACGAGCGCCATATGACGCGAACTGAAGTAATGAAGTCAGCTAACAGATACCCTGGATTGAGTGTATATAGCAGTGGGATAACTTGAACTATAAATAAAGCTTAGACTAAGCTTAATTTCTAATAGAAGTATGTGAGCTTTATGAGAGACAAACCAATAGATAGAAATGGAAATAAGTATTTGTGTTCAATTAACTTGGAAATAGTTATAAAAATCTTTTGAGATGTAATTATGAATATCATTTAAGTTAAGCAGACTTTCAAGCATTTGCACATGACATTTAGGCCTAGCTTTAGCTGTTTTGCATGCGATTTATATGAGAGATAGAGTTGAAAGTGCTTATAGTATATAGAAATATTGATCAAATAAACTTTGTCTAAAAAATAGATTCTGCTGTGGGTCAAGCTTAAATTTGTTAGTTAATTTGTAAAAATAAACAAATACGTAATATATTTATTTTTTATTTATTTTTTTTATTGTTTTATATTTGCCTAGCGAAGATTTATAGATATGAAATACATTTACATAAAGAGAAGATTAAAACAGGGAATGACATAGTTCAATATGAATATTTCATAAATATTAAATAATATATATAAATGTATATATGTTTATATAAATATTAATAAATGTATGATTTGCAAAAATAGGTATATACAAAGATAGGTAAGGTGCTCCTTTTTGTCGTTTGAATATCATAAATTATTCATTTTCTCTCTGCTCGTCTTGCTATGAATTTATGCAAACTTAATTCTTCTACTTTAAGCACACAAATATTTATTTTAATTCATGCTTCGCTCAATTGACTTCTTCTTTAACTCATACTTGGCTCACTTCAATTTATTGTAATATGCCAAATGTCTCGTATACCCTGTAAAGCTTATCGCTTGTGACGTCAAAGGTCGTTCTGTTTAACTTATCTGCAGCTGACAGAGTTCAATCAATTGTTACAAGCACACAAAAACCAACAACAAATAAGTATAATAATTATACTAACAACAACAAGAGCAAGAGTAAGAGTAACATATTAGCCAAATTCGCAGCAGACGAATCGGTTTGAACCGGAAATCCAGCGCTGGATGAACGAGCTCAGTCGCAGTCGCTATCGCTGCCGACGTTGCGTTCGCTGTCGCGACGTTAACGCTGTCGGCTGTTCGCTTTCGTTAAGAAAAAGTTGTTAACAAACTGTTGTTGTTAATGCTGGCCGGCAGCCAGGGCAAGGCTTTAAGCGTACAAAAGCCAACGCCGCACGATCAGAATAACTTTGAAGCGCGTCGCGCGCGGTCGTTTATATTGCCTTACTCAAAAAGTTATATTCATTTGATTGGTTCGTAAGAGTGTTACCAACTTTTACTATCAAATGTCAATTTGTGCTTAAAGTGGAACAGTGCTAACCAATTCTTCGGGCCAAATAAAAAGAGTTCAAAAAGTAACAAGCAAAAGGCAAACGTTAAAGCAAAAGCAAAATCTTCTACAAGTATGTGAATATTTTAAATAAAATAAACATAAAGAACTATGTATGACTAGCTTATATAACTGTGGGTGTATGTGTATGTACTAAAGAAAATAAAGAAATTGCTTTTAAATACAATATATATAAATGTGATATTTATATATATATAAAATAAACATAACTAAAAAATAAATAAATTTAAATATTATGTAAAAAAATAAATATAATTTTGTAAGATTATATATAATAAAATAAAAAAATATATAATTTTTTAAATTACAAAATTATAATTATAAATAATAAAATTAGTAATTGAATATATTTTGTAAATTTATAAATAATTAAATAAAAATTTTTGGAAAAAAAATTAAATATACATAATTTTTTAATTTTTAAATTAAAAAATAATTACATTTAATAACAAAATTAATTAATTAAAAACTATTAAAATGAATAAATACGTTAATAAATGTATAAAAAACATAAAAAAATAAACATAATTTTATAAATTCAAAAATTAAGAAAATTATATACGCTACATCATTTTTTAATTAAAAAACAATTACTGCCAGCATAAGCTAATTAAATAATATATTTGAAATAATTACATTATCTATGAAACTTTATTGTTGCAAGTAAAAAAATTGTGCAATTTACAAATCGCAAATGTTGTTAACGTAAAACACGATAAAAAATAATGAAAGAGAAATATAAAAGTATATATCTTATATATGAACTTGCTAGGGTCGAATAACTATATACACACATATACATATATATGCCATATCTGAAACAAGTCTATAAATCATTTGCAATACAAAACTTGTTTCGCTTAGTTTTTGACCTAATAGAAGTGGATTAATGGATCGATGAGATCATACTTAACTATTTAACGCTGTTATCAGCAACATACTCGAAAGTACAACAAAACTCACTGAGTTTGCAGTGAAAGTATACAACTTCCACATACACAATTATTAGTAAATAGATAATACTTGGAAAGTTTTCAAGGTTTCAAAAATTCTGACAGTTTTCTATAATTCGCATTGCTATGCTTTGCCAATATTAACCGATTTTATTTCCTGGCAGCTGGGCAAGGCAACCAGTATGCAACGTGCTTGGCATTAATTTAACTGTTATAGGCAAGTTTTCAAAACGACTTTAACTGTCCTTAAGTTGAGCATAGTCAAATCTTTGACCCATAAAACAAAATACCTACGCAACAGATTTGCGTGGGAAATTAGTTGATAGACAAAAACTGAAATCCAAAAGGCGGAAGCGCGCCTTATTTAGACTCGATAGTTCCATTTGGTATTACGAATCGGTTTTTGATTGCTTATCGTTTATTTGACCATGAATATAAAAAAAAAAACACAGAAAAAGATTAAATGCAATAAATTCGAAAATTCCAAAATTCATTGACATTTTTATGACAGCAAATAATAAATCCAAAATTCACTTGTAATTGCATCGAATTCAAGTGTTAAAACCAAATTGTTATGGACTAATCCACGCATCAGAAATGAAACAATAAAATTGATATAAAAACGAGATTAGATACGCTTATGCCGGGCGCGTGCTTCAGTTCCAGGAAACATTTTCATTTTTCTTTATTTTATTTTTTTTTATATTGGATTGATGGGCGCTATCAAAATGTCGTCCATGTCGTAGGCGTCGTTGGCCAAAATATATTATAGCTATATCTACACCTGTTATTTAGTAATTTATTATAGTTTTGAACACAAAATATTGGGCTGATCGTTGTACATGTAGTACCCAATAGCATTTAAAATGTCATTAATTGAAATTGATTGCGGAGTAAAGAATTTTTAGACTTTTTGATTCATAAATTAATTCATAACGAGTTGAAAATTTTTTTTAATAAATTCTATTTCGAATTAAGCCTAAGAAAAATTGTTGGAGCAATATGTACTTATTTAGATAACAAAGAGTTTGATATAATGAAGCAGACTTTATTAAAAAGCGTATGAGTTAAATCTAAGGAAAAAATAATGTAAATTATTATATTTTATTTATATTTTTTCTCAAAAATAATTTTATATTTTTATCTTATTTTTTTTTTAATTTTTTTTAAATATATATGTTATATATATATATATATATATATATATATATATATATATATATATATATATATATATATATATATATAAAATTTTATATATTTATTTCTTTCTATCTATTTTATTAAGCAGCTTGTAAATGAATGTAAGCTATAAATGAGTTTAAAGTATATTTAACTATATTAAAACTTATAAATACATTTTTACGTATCAATAGTAAGCTAAAGCTGCAAATCTGAAAAATTTGCAGCTGTAATGCAAAATTAAAATGAAAATGTAACAATATAGAAATTGTTAAAGCATGGAGCGCAATGGAACGAGTCGATTTATGAAAATTTAAACCAATTTGGAATTTGCAATTTATCTAATCACGTTTAATGCCGTGTTCTGTCTATCATATTTTAAGTGTGCCTTACACTTGTGTGTGTGTGTTGTGTGTGCATATTATTGCAGCCGTATTTGGCATGACAAATCGCATTGAGTTGGGCCATTAAAATAACTTGTTGCGATATGGAACAGCTTGAGCCCAAGCGTTATAATGTGTTAGCTGCCTCTGCTAGCCTTATCGTCACATACATATATATTGAGAGTTGTATGAGATAAGATAAGCATGACCTGGACAATGTTTAAGCGTTCCAATCGTTTCTAAATCGTTCATTAAAGTATTACAAGTAATGCTTGCAATAAATAGCTAAGGTGATGCAAGTGACTGTCTTATATGATTAATATAAATGAAAAAAGTATAAAAAATGGAAGAAAATATATAAATATAGAATATCGCTTAAAAGATTATCTACGAAATGAATTTATTTATAGCAGGTACAACAATTTTTCATATTTTACTACAAACAACAGTAGTGTAAAGCAGATCAGATTAACAAAGTAGAGAGAGGGAGAGAGTAGACGATTAATAAAGAGAGAAAAGGCGAGGCATATAAATATATAATTATGATTATATGTGAGTGGAAGTAGAAGCAGAGGCAGACTCTATTTGATGTTCAAAAAACTTGTAAAATTATAAAAAAATAAAAAATCCAGATATCAAAAATTGAGCACTAAAGCACTAAATATGGTTATAATATTAATAAAATTATAAATATAAAAAAAAAATTATTTTTAAAATAATAATTAAAATGAAAAATAAATAATAATAATAAATAATTTATTATTAATAATTTTACTTTATTTTTATTTTATAATAAAAAATTGTATTTAAATATTTTTTAAATTATATCCTAATATCTGTTTTTAAGTTTTCATTCAATTTCATATTAATAAAATAATTGAATTTTAATTTGCAGACATGTTGAAACTATGGAAAGCCCTGACTCGCCGCAAAACGGACGATGTCAATGAGAGCGAATCGATGTTGGCGCGTGTGCTGAATCTCTTTGATCTGACAGCACTCGGTGTGGGCAGCACATTGGGCTTGGGTGTCTATGTGCTGGCTGGTCAGGTGGCCTATAATATCGCTGGCCCGGCTGTTACCATATCCTTTCTGATAGCTGCCCTCGCGTCGGCATTTGCGGGCATCTGCTATGCGGAGTTTGCAGCTCGAGTGCCCAAGGCAGGCAGCGCCTACGTCTACAGCTATGTGACCATTGGCGAGTTTGTGGCCTTCACAATTGGCTGGAATCTGATATTGGAGTATGTGATTGGCACGGCGTCGGTGGCACGTGGTCTGAGCGGTTACTTTGACTCGCTGATCGATAACAACATGTCGAAGGCGCTTATCGATACGATGCCCATCAACGTGAGCTTCCTTGGTGACTATCCGGACTTTTTGTCCTTTGGCATGGTGCTCCTGCTCGCTGCTCTGTTGGCTTTCGGTGCCAAGGAATCTAGTTTCTTGAATAACATTTTCACCACTGTTAACTTGGTGACAATTGGCATTGTTCTCGTTGCCGGTGGCATGAATGGTGAGTACTTATTTTTATGAGAATTGCATAGAGAGGCGATATGTGGGAATTTCTGTATCAAATTTCTCTCTTATCTTTACAGCAAACCCGGACAACTGGCGCATTCCTGCTAGCGAAGTGCCATCCTGGGCTGGCTCCGGTGGCTTCATGCCCTTCGGCATAGCTGGTGTCATGGCTGGAGCTGCGAAGTGCTTCTATGGCTTTGTGGGCTTCGATTGCATTGCCACCACCGGCGAGGAGGCCATCAATCCCAAACGTAATATTCCCTTGGCTATTGTGGTATCGCTGATCATCATCTTCCTGGCTTACTTCGGCGTCTCCACGGTGCTGACCATGATGCTGCCATATTATCTCCAGGATCCGGATGCACCATTCCCAAAAGCCTTTGATTCCGTCGAATGGTATACGATCAAATGGATTGTGACGATCGGAGCTGTGTTCGCGCTCTGCACCAGCCTGCTGGGTGCCATGTTCCCACTGCCCCGCATTCTCTATGCCATGGGCAATGATGGCATTCTCTTCAAGCGTCTGTCCAAGGTGCATCCGTATACCAAGACTCCACTGCTCGCGACGATTGTCTCTGGCTTGTTTGCAGCTGTGATGGCCTTGTTATTCAATTTGGATCAACTGGTTGACATGATGTCCATTGGCACCCTGCTCGCCTACACGATTGTGGCCATATGTGTCCTGGTGCTGCGCTATCAGGATGACCAGATGACCAAAGTGGTCTCGGTACGTGCTCCGAATGTCTTCCGTCAGTTCTTCTGCAACAGTTACAAAGTGCCCAATACGATGACCTCGGCCATTACCAAAGTTGGCATCGTGGTCTTCGCCATCTTCTGCATCGTCTGGTGCATCTTCATGAAGGTCTTCGAAATAGAGACAACTGGTGCGGTTGTTTCTCTGAGTATTGTCGGCTTAATACTCATTTGCATATGCGTGGTGATTGCCATGCAGCCGGTGTCGACGATCGAGCTGACGTTCAAGGTGCCGCTGGTGCCATTTGTGCCCTGCCTGAGCGTCTTTGTCAACCTGTATTTGATGTTCCAGCTGGATTTGTTTACCTGGATACGTTTCCTCATCTGGGTAGCCATTGGCTATTGTATATATTTCGCCTACGGCATACGCAACTCCACGCAAATAAGCAGAAATCGCAATCATGCTGAGGTGGCTGCCAATACCATGCAAAACTCTTACTCTTATCCTCAGCAGCATGAGAATCCCGCCTTCGAGCCGGACTGGAAGGTCGAGAATGGCATCAAAGATGCGCCCCCGCAATACGAGTACTCGGAAAAGCTATAAATCGATCTAGGCAACTCGAACATAGCAGAGCAAGTATTATAAGTTGCCTTGTAGCTTAAGACTGTGCCTCATAGCTGACTAACAATTGAGCAGATATTTATTTTAGATTATTTTTATTATTAATTATTGTGCACTAAAAAGCGAAAAACAGCTGAAAGGATTTCTTAAAAAGTTATAAAACAAATTTGTATATAAAAACATTTAAATTCTGTAAAAGTTAGTGTGCAATTTTTATATAATATTATTTATAATATTTTTAAATGGCAAGACAGAAAAAGATTTTTAATTATTTACTTTGCATTTTTGTACTCATTGAGAACAAATTTTTTATATAAAATGTAAATACTTAAAATTATTTAAAAAAGTTTTTTAAAGTGAAAAAAAAAATAAGAAAATAATTCTTTTTAATTGCTTAAATATAACTGAGTATAAAAATACTTAAAGTTATTCAAAATAATTTTTGAAATTGAAAAATAGTCAAATAATTCTTTTTTAATTGACTTAAAATTTAAAAAAAAAGTCAGATCATATAAATGTATTTAAAATGACTTAAAATCATTTTTCTTAATTTAAAAGTGTAAAAAATTGTCTAAAAAAGTCATTTGCTCAGTAATATTCCTATATATATGTGCTCATTTGTTAGTCAGCCGTGAAAGCAGGTCTTAAAAGTTTTTAGCTTAAGCAATTTTCGACCCCGTAGTAAACCCCACTTATCTTGCTTGTAACTTCAATTATACTCTGAGTTTAGCTTGCATGTGTTTGTGAGAGAGATGAATAGATTGCGCATAAAAATTAAATGAATAGCCCATTAGGCAGACGAGACTAGCAAAGTCTCTGGAGAGTTGGGTTTTTTGTTATTTCTATGCGCCAGAAATTTAGACACACACGACTTCTTAAAGTCCGCTCAATGCAGACTTTTTATTATTATTATTTTCATTTTCTTATTGGAAATCCATTTTCTTTATTTGTTCTTTTTTTGTAATTATTCCTTGCTGCCTTTTGATTTCTGTACATAATGCCCCCATAAAGTTGTGATATTTGTAAATATATATGTATATAGAGTTTTTAAAAATGTTCGCATATATTGATATATATTTGTGTCACAATGCTTGTTGTCGTTATGTAAATGCAATTTGTAATTTGTAATATAATTTAAAATATTGTCATAGATTTTTATGCAATTTTACAATCCTAAGCTAGTTCTGTATTTATGTTATTTAGCTGATAAGTCAATGCTCCCGCCCCCCTATCGAACATCCATGTACCAAGAAACGAATTTGCCCCACATAAAACTGCTTATTAAATAAAACAAAATATATAAATAATAGAAAAAAAGTGTTTTGTCATTGGATTTTGATCTACAAAAAAAGCAAACAAATGAAGGTTAAAACTTATCAGTTTGCATTATAAAAATAACTTTAGCATTTGTGTTTCTTACCCCACATGGACTTCTCTTTTTATACTACTTACCCAGGGTTTTGTTGACAACAGTCATATGTGACAGGAAAAAAAAGGCATCTTGGGATCACATGGATGCTGTATACTGAGTCGATGTAGCCTTGTTTTTCTGGCTTCAGTTATTGTGAAATTTTATTCAACAAAATTTATGAAAGACTGTTGCTTAGAACGTATATAAATGTGATATATATTTAAGTTTAACTAAATTATGAACTGTACAGTTCAGAAAAACCTCTCAAAAGAACTTAAGGCGAAACGTAGTAAAACTTAGAGTGTTGGCAAATCAAACACTAACTATATACAGGGTATCTATTAGTTAGTCATGTATCTTGGTTAATTCTTAGCTAATCTAATCTCGCAATCGGTGGAAACTTGACCGGCAACAAGATAAAGGATTTCTATATACAACATCTGATACAACATTTCACTTTAAACATCTAATTTTAAATATATGAATATTCGCTTTTTTCCTATATATTAATATATATTTTTTTACAGCTGGGCAAGACAAAATTTGTACGAAGTTTGACGGCGTGAAAAATTTTTAATTAAAGATATTTGTAATGTATTTGCTTGAACGTTTGAAGCGTCGCAGAGTAATCACGACTGATGACTCCAAACCGAAGAATTATGTCAGGATCCATAGCTTGATTATAATGGGCTTGGGCGGGTCTTTGGGTCTCGGCATCTATGTGCTGGTCGGGCAGGTTGTGCTACAAATGACTGGCCCGGCAATTACAGTAAGCGTTACCATAGCAGTGTTGGCTTCGCTCTTTGCTGTACTCTGTATAGCGGAGCTTTCGTCGCGAGTTCCGCATTCTGGCAGTGCCTACATATATAGCTATGTCATCATGGGCGAGTTTGTGGCCTTCACCGTCGGCTGGAGCATGCTGCTTGAGTATATGACGAGCACGGCGTCTGCGGCACGTGGCCTTTCTTCTTATCTGAATGTGCTACTAGATGACAAGCTGTCGAATGCATTTCAAAGTATTTTAACATTAAACTGCAGCTTTACGTCAACATATCTGGACTTTCTGTCCTTTGCCCTAATCCTGCTTGGATCATGTCTTCTTGCCTGCGGCGCTAAGCAATCGATGTGGCTGAATCTGGTGCTCACTATCATCAACCTGATAACCATTTGCATTATCATTATCGCTGGCACCACATTTTGTATATATATATTTAGTTTGAGCTTTCATTCAACTCTATTCAGTTGATTTCTTTCTTTAGCCGATATGAAAAACTGGAGTCGCAGTTCAAGTGAAGTGCCCATAGGCGCAGGCTCTGGTGGCTACTTTCCGTACACTTTGGAGGGCCTATTCAGGGGCGCAGCGATCTGCGTTTTTGGCATCGTTGGACTCAATTGCATCACCCCCCTCAATGGCGATGTTATCAATTCCAATCATTATGTACCCATGGCGATTTTCATATCAATGCTAATCGTATTCTGTACCTACTTTGTGGTGACAAACATATTGACTGCCATGATACCCTACTATCTCCTCAATCCGTTTACCCCAATAGTATCCGCCTTTAAATATTACAATTTGGACAGTGTATGTTGGTGCGTCATCGTTGGCTCTGTGCTGGCATTGATTATGTCGTTGCTGAACTTCATGTTTTCGATGCCGCCTATCATGCATGCCATGGCTGAGGATGCACTTATGTTCAAATGTTTTGCTTACACACAAAGCTTGACAAGGGCGTCTATGATAGTCACCGTTCTCACTGGCATAATGGCGGGTAAGTTGGCCAGACTATAGCCGTTCATAAATATCCTATCTCAGATTATTTCCCATATCATCCTTATCGATTTTAATTTCTATTTATATAGCTTTCTTGGCGTTGATCATAAGCTTTGACTTCTTGATCGAGCTGTCCATAATTGGTGTTATGCTGGCCTATACTATTGTGGCCATTGGAGTTATTTTGATGCATTATAAGGTCGATGATGTTGATAATGCCGCTGGGAATAATGGCAAGGATATCAACTTTAAGCGGGCTATGAGTCAGATCGTTAAAAAACCACGTGAGAAGAGATCGAATGCACTTTCTCAATACACAGCTCGAATGTTTCTATACATTTTTCTGCTACTTTCTGCGTCGTTCTGTGTGGTTTTAAAGTTCCGTCCCGTCATACACGATCTGTGGCTCATTATGCTGGCAGCCTCCATAGGTATTTTAAACATCCTCTGCATTATAATGATTAATCTGCAGCCGAAGTCAACGGATTTTCCGCCATTCAAAGCGCCCTGTGTGCCGGTCATACCTTGCGTTAGCATTTGGCTGAATCTATTTCTAGTGTCGAAAATGTCGGGGAGCGCCTGCATAGCTTATCTGTTCTGGATGATTATCGGCTATATAATTTATTTCGGGCAAGTAACCGCCGATTTTTTAGGCAAAAATCTCACCAGGAAAGTAGCTAAAGAGATGATCAGCAACTTGAAATTCGTGGTGTAAATGAATAATATATAAATATATATTTTATATTTTAACAATGTTACTTCGTGCTTTGATAAAGAATAAGTACATTGACTTAGAGATAGAGATAGATAGAGGCTAAAGTACTGCTATTGCTGCTGCTGTAGTCGACTCTAAATAGTTGGCTAACCAGCTTAGTTAAATGGCAAATAAGCTGGCTTTGTGCGCCCTCAGCTCAGCCTCGTCTTTCTCTCGCAGTTGGGTAAATAATACGGAGGCAAGTGAAAAACGCAAACTCAAGCTGAAAAGCCAGATGAAAGTTGCTTGGATAATGCCAACAAACACACACCCACACACTCGCTTGGTCAAGTGAGCTAAAAGAGTAGGGCCAACAAAGCGTCATTGGGAAAATAAAATCGTTTTTGTGTATCTTTGCCTAGACACGCTTTTCACTTGCCTTTGTTTTATTTTCTTGTTGGGGTCGGACTCATTTATACATTTCTCGTTGCCGCGTATCAAATGCTGAGCCCTTAAAGCAACTGCTACATTTCTTGCAGTGTATTCTCTTTTGACTTTCTGTAGCCTTTATTGTGCTCACATCTGCGTATGAATGCAATTTTTCACACGCTGTCATTTAGCGCAGCTTCCTTAGTACTCTTTAGTCTTAGCAGCATAGTTTCAGTGAGGGAAAGAGTTTGGCAATGCCCAAAAAAGCATTTTCAATTAACTAAACGTAGATAAAATAGATAAATAAAGAATACTCAAAAAATCTAAATTTTTATTGTTTTCTCTGTCTTGCTTAGGAAAAAGTACAATCATTTTAAATTGTTTGCCTCTTAGGCCAACATGACGTATGCGCAATGCCTATGAGGCCGCCTCAAATTACAATAAGCGCTCGAAAGTATGCAACGCAATTTGATTCACACAAGCGATCAAACAATAAAATGTTCAGCCTAAAAGCATGCAACACAAAACAAACATTTCGACAGCCAATTGCTGCGCAATGCTCTAACTGGAAAGGCGCATCACTTATGCAAATAAATTGAAAATATTTAAATATTTAAATATTTATTTAACAAAAGTTTCAAAAAAGAAACCAGCTTATATTGTATAAGACTTGTATGTATACGACTAATAAAATCTAGCCAAAGTATTTGAGCTTTATTTTAGATAGTTAGTGTATTTGCTGGGTTCAAGTGTTAGGTAAGCCGAGCAGAATAAAACGCTTTAGAAGACCACACACACACACGCTCGCACACCACAAACAAGCACACACACTCGCATATAGTGGGCGAAAGAGATAGGCCAATGCAAATACAAATACTTATACGCGTGACTGTAGCTGTAAATAAATAAACAATAATTTGAGCCACGTTTATGTATACATGTGTAAGTGTGTGTGTGTGTGTGTGTGTGTGTGTGCCAGCATAAAATGTAATGCAAACGGCATTGGTAGCGTGTGGCAAGAGGCTCAACATGAGAAGCGGCTTGGAGCGCTTGGCGCGCTGCGGTTTCATTTGTGAGTTTTAATTAAATACGTTTAAATATTTGTTATTTCCGACAGGCAGACAAACCAAACGACCAGCAACAACAACAGCGGCAACAGCAGCACAGAGCTTCAGCAACAGCCACCTGGCAAATATTAGCGAAAAATTAGCAAAGTATTTTAAGCGCAACATGTTCGTCCTGCGGTTTTTCAGCGTCAAATCCTCTGGCTGTGCATCCTCGTGTGGCATTCAACTCCCATTGCACATCATTTTGTGTGCTCGTTGCGTGTGCATTTCATTTATTTATAAATAACGCATAATTAATTTAAAATGCGTGCCTGAAATTGTCGTTAAGTGCTTAATCCTGTAACCTGCCACACGGCAAAAGCCTGCCCAAAAAACAGGGCGAAAAAAACAAACGATTTTCTGCAACTATTTTGAAATTCAATTCTAAAACAATTGAGCTGCAGACATGTCGGCATTAGCATTTCTAATACACCAATTATGTAGATGTTCCAAACATTTGTAAGTGATAGAATTTTGGGTATTATAGGAATTTTATTTATAATACTAGGGAAGAGAGGGAAATTTGTAAGAATAATAATTCTCATTTAAGTCTTTGATGTGATCCCAAATATTAAATAATTTATTCTTATTATCAAAACAAAACTTTATTGTATAATATAATAAACTTCAATTCATTTATATTAATTTTTATTATTTTTTGTATACAAATATTCCATAAAATATTTTAAAATAAAATTTAAAAATAAAATCAAGAATTTATATGTTATAAAATATTTTCGTCTCAATCTGCAGCTATTTCTACTTCATCTTCCTATTTATCAGACCTTTAGTCATAAAAAAATCAATTAGAATTTGATATAATTTAAATCAATTACCCCTCACAGCTCACAGCAGGTTTTGAAGTCTACGAAAAATTATTAACGACTATAGCTCAACTATCGCTGGCCACGCCCACAGCGCCTAAGCCTCGCTCTCTAACTATTTAGTGTCCGTGCTCAAAGTCAAAAAGTTTGCAAATTTAACATGCGGTCAACAAAATGAAATTAACTTTTGGCGCGTATGAAATGATGCTGACCACAACCCGAAATAGGTTTTTTCTGCTCAAAAAATTTAATTGCAAAAATATGTGAAACTGAGTTGGAAAGTGAACGCCCCGGGGCTAGACTATAAATACCCGAATAATAGGTCGATCTGCATCAATTAAGAAAATAATCCGCGCTTTATTCAAATAGTATATAAATATTATTTGACAGCAGCCCAAACAGCAAAAACTGTCGTCGAGTGGTTAACGCTGCATGGGAGGGGGGCTGGCACAGCGGGGTACGGGGCGTGGCTTGTGCAGCAATCCAGGCTGGGGATTAAGGGACCATTATGCGAACATTTTCAACATATGCTAAACGAACGGAAGAAAAAAAGTAAAACGACAACAACTTTTGAACCATGTCATGCGGCGGGTCTTAATGATGTTGCTGATGAGGCCAGCGGATGCGGATGCGGATGAGAGTGCGGATGCGGATGCGAATGTTTTCCGGTGGGAATGGGCAGCAGCCGATGATAATGTTGATGACAGGTGTTTCATGAAATACACATGACATTTATGAACTGCAAGGACAATCAAGCAAAAAGCAAGCTTCAATAGCTGTGATTAAAAAATGGCGAAATTGCTTTTACTTCGAGTGAAAAAAACTAGGAAACATCAACATTAAAACTATAAATAAATAAATATTAACTTTATTTGTAATATTCATTTTCCCTTTTATGAAAATTGAAATTAATTTTCATCAGATTTTTAAAAGGGATTTTATTCATATTTGAAGTTGATTAACATTGAAATGAAATAAAGTCAAGCTTGAGTTGTGCTAGCCTAGATATAGTTTGATAAGCAAGCTAATCTACATCGGGATCAAAGAATCTTGAATACTAAAGAAATGAGAAAGGTCTTTAATCTTAACTATTTACTAAAGGGAAAGGCGAAGCGCAACCTAAGTCTACTATGAATGGTAGTACTATTACTATCAACTTCTAGTAATACTACTGGTAATATTTCCTATCTGTCAACTACTACTATCTACTACAAGTTTATTATCGAATACTTTATTCTACTATTATTTACTAATACTACTATCTAGAGCTACTATCTGCTATTACTAACTACTACTAATATTTACTGCTACTAATATCTACTACTTCTATCTATCTTCTAAAATCTACTTACACTACCTACCACTACTATCTCCTACTATTATCTACTACTATCTGGTACTTCTTTTACTACTATTATAACTTACTACTACTATTACTATCTACTATTATTATTTACAATTACAATATTCATAGTCTGTATACTACTTTTTTCTACTACTACTATTTACTACTACCATCTACTACTTATATCTCTTACTACTCTCTTTTACTACTACCTTTTACTACTCTCCACCAGCTACTACTTCGACTAGGTAGCTCTCATTGCTTTATTTTTTTTTAACTTTTTAATCTTTTGTCATGCAAATATATATATATCATAGATTATACACAATTTTATGAGCTGAATTGTTTTGCATTTGTTTTTGTTCAGCCATGCACAACTCCCATTGCAAGCATTGTCCATGAATAACCATTTGATGTCCTTTTGATCTTTTCATTACGGTCAACAGAATATACATATAATCATAGTTACCCTTATCCGCCTTTGCCCATTTTTGTTGTCATTGTTGAGAGGTGCCAGCTGTGCAACAGTGCGTATGATGAATTTGGTTAAATGCCTCAATGCGCGACTCTTCCACAAAAACCAAAAAGCATTTTAACTATGTGTAGGCTGCACACACGCATTCCTATTTACCCTTGTTAAATATTATTTAGCTTGTTTATTTTGCCAGGCGCCTGCTGTGCATAAATAAATATAAATTGCAACCATTTTTATGCGTTTATATATTTAGTCACATCAAATGCAATTAGCGCGCGTTCAACTAGCTTTAAAGTTGGCAGCTTAATTGACAGTCGGAATAATAGAACAGAAAATATTTGTTACAAAATGAAAAGAGAATCACTGGGAGGGCGGCATCTGTTAGTTAGTCTTGCCTTTCTCTATGCTATATAATTTTGTGTCCATATTGAAATCATTTCGCTTAACAGTTTGGATATGTTGACCGCGTGAAAACTCAATTTACTTGAAGCATGGCTGGACAAATTTGGGTTTCAGCCATGTCAAATGCCATCAATTTGGCCAACAATATTCACGGCAATTAACAAATTAATTGCCTACTTTGAGGTTGCACTTGAAGCCAACACACAGACACTCATACGCTTACTTGGCAGGGGCAGGCTTTGCTGGTTAAGCTAATTCCCAATGGCATCTTAGTTTTATGGCCAACACACAAACACACCAGCAGCAGCAGCAACAACAACAATGTAACCAGGACGCAAATGCTGAAACGCTAATGAAATTTCCAAGCTGAGCTGCATAGCTGCCCTGGGAGTACAACTTCTGCCCGGTAGGTGGCGTATTTGCAAAGCTTTTAATATAATGACACATTATCATGGCAGCGAGTCAAAGACACACGAGATGACGCACAAACACACACACACACACAAATAGACAGGCAGACAGCATACTCACATGGACACACACACACAGAGTGACAATTGAGTACACGCACAAGCAGATAAGTTAAGCCTTGTGCGCGAGCGAGACAGCGTATCGCAGCTATGGCGTGGGAGCGAGCCAGCAGATCTGGTTACTGCAATTGTGTTTGCCTTTGCCTACCCTTTACACAGGTTGTGTAAACTGATGCATTGATAACGGTAACTGCTAGAGGTACGCAGATTGAAAGTAGTTTCTCATTTGCTTCAAATATATCGTATGTCGTTTGTCGCATGGCAAACGACAACTGCTGGAAGTAGTTCACATTGTCTCGAAATATATTTGTATGTCGTGTTTCGTATATCATTAATTCGAAATATATCGAATGTCGTATGTCGAATATCGTATACAAGCTTATATATTGAAAATGGCAACAAGAGGAAGTTGGCTAAGTAGCACGCTTTCATTTGAGAAAATATATCGAATATCGTATGTTGTATATTGTATCGTAGGAAGTTGGCTGTATTGCACGCTCCCAATTGTTAGTGATAAATCGAATACCGTATTTCGTATATCTGGTGTATTGCAAATGCATGCTCTTATTAGATTATGAATTATATCAAATATCGTATGTCGTATATTGCATTAATCTTCTGAAATGGTAATTGCTGGCAGTTACTCGAATGACACGCTTCATTTAATTTATCGAATATCGTATTTTGTAAATGTTACGCTAAAAAGAATTCATATTGAAGTTCGCTCTAATTAAATTGTCATTTATATGTTTTATACATATTGGCAAAAAATTGTTTTACTTATTTTCGTTTTTTTTTTTTTAAATAATAAAAAGTCAATTTTTTGCAGTTAATTAATTAATGCCCAATAATTTAATTTATTTATGCATAAATTCTATTAGAAATATATCAAAAGCCAGACTAATTATGTTAACATGTTTTTTATTAAATAATTAATAATAAAAAATGTAATATTTAGAGTATTAACGTCTGACAATTGTAATAAATATAGCGAGATTAGTGTGCGATGCTTTTTCAATATATCAAAAACTCGTTTTTTGCTGCGTATTTGCACTGATGTCTGCATCGCTCAGCCATATAGTCAGAATATAGCCCTCGGTCTATTTGAAATGGATTTACTGTCGATTTATTACTGCCGTTGTATTTGTTATTGCTCATGTTGCATTTGCTGTTGCTGTTGCTGTTGCTGATATTACGCATACGTCCTGTGTGACGGCCTATTCGACTACTTCCACGGTTGCAAAATGCGTTTTAAATGGTTTCCCCTCTTCGCCCCCTCGGCCCAAAAAATGGATTGCAAACAAACAAGCGAACGTAGCTGCTGCCCCTCTATCACACGATGCATTTCATAAAATATGCAACAGCAGCAACGCTTGTTGCAACACTGACAGTATCAGCAGCAGCAGCAACAACAACAGCAACACAAATTGCCAGCGCATCCATTTAATTTCATTTTAATGCACAGCATATCCTGGCAAAGGTGTAGTACCTCCGCTGCTTCCACCAGCCCCCACCATGCCCTTTTAGCCATTGTCCTTATACAGCGTGTAAACAATTTTGCCTTATCAAACAATCGAAACACTGCTCTGCAGAGGGCGTGGCCAATTAAATGACTCTGGCAATGTTTAATGCATAACTCTTAGCCAGCTGCATATTATTGCATTTATTGCCATTCTCGTTGTTGTTTTTCTTTTTATTATTTTTTATAATTACTGTCATTTGTATTTGCGCGCTGTCTGTGTTTGCCAAGTGTTGATCGCATTTTTATATGCACTTGAAATGAATTAATGCTGGACAGTGCAACACAAAGCAACAAAAATTGGGTCTACAGTCAAGTGACAGAGTGTGAGCAGCTACCAAAAAATGGGACTTACAAATTATTAATGAGCAAACCTCTGACCAGGTAGGCAGGTGTAATGATGTGAGCGTAGCTGAAAGGCAATAAAGGTATTAAGAGGAGAACTTCAATGTAATTTATATATGAAATATATATCTACTTTATATGAATTGTTTTTGTATAAAAGATAAGTTCTTATGTATTTCATTGCAGTTCAATTTCTATAGTTTACTATGAAAATCAAGGTTTATGTTTTGATATCAAACGATGCTCGGTAAAGATCTTGCCACACAAAGGTGATTTATATATATAAAATAAATATATAAATATATTTTTTTTAATACATATATTCCTATATTTCATCAAGTATTTTATCGAAAATTTTAATGCATTTTAAAGCTTGATTAGTTGATAAAAGAAATATCTATAAATTATATAAAGATTAAAGATTAAATTATAGCATGAGGATAGACTTATTAAGTATACGCAGGAAATGAAGTGCCCCAGCAAGTTATACACTTGATGGGCATTTAAATCGTTAAATAGTTGAATATACATATATGCATAAAATAAATATATATATGTATAACAATTTACGTAACGTGAAAAAAGAGCAGTCAATCAACAGCACGATCTGTTGGCATTGCCTGATACATCAAATGCTTTCTTACCAAATTTCCAAGTTTTTTTTTTTTTTTTTGCTCTTTGTGCACTTCAGAGCAAATATAAATGTATTTAATTGCTTTATAAATAAATCGCAAATTTGCCAAAAATAGACAAAAGAGACTTCAGCATTTTGCTTTGGCAAAGACCTTTCAGAACGAGCAATAAAACGCAATTAATATATGTAATAATTTTTAAAGACGTATTTAAATTACAACTAAACGATAATAACTCGACAATAATTACAAAATAATGCGCAGCGCAGCATGATATAATAATAATACGCATAATACTCTGTTAATAACTTCAAGTGCTGCGCACAAAGCAGGAAACAAATTTGATGAAAACTCAAGAAAGAATGTTCATTCAAATCAAATCTGAAATTTGAAATCTAAAATCTGAAATCTGTAGCAATATTCAAGGTCAGAGAACGTTTCAAGCGTTCTATTGAGGTACTCGAGCGAAGAGCCTCTTGAGTGTGTGCTAAAAAGTTGGTAAAAATTAACTATGAAAATAGATCAACATTTTATGATCAAATAAAATTTATGAAACGCAATCAGTCTATTGTAAGCGGAACTCTAAACGGTAGCCAATCTACATATATTGCCAGCAATTGTAATGAGAAAACGTTTCGTTTCGTTTCGAGAGCCGAACAAAAATCATTCCACTTCACATGCAAAAACCTGATCCAAAAATAATTGTGCTCAAGTGCGTGGCCAACTAAGAGTTGAAGGCGGACGTTGCTAGCTGTTGGTTGTTGGCTTGTTGGTGGTTCGTCATAGCCACATTATCAAGTGGTTAATAGAGCCAAAGACGGGCTGTCGTCATCTCTAGCTCTTTTTTGATGCGCACTTGACTTGGCTCTACATTTCATTTGTTTAATTGATTTTTTTATTTCAATTATTTTTGACTCTGTTAATGAAAACCAGATTTGAGCTGCGGATGATCCAAATCCAACATTTTCGCTATAAATACGCTTTGCAAATTGGACCAAGGCATCATTGGGTTCAATACCTACGACACAGTAACATCTTCAGTCAGTTCGCCTAGTTCGTTTTGTGCACAAGAACTAAACTTACAGCATGGTGAGTGTACTAAAGTGTGCCAGGAAACGATTTAGTACAGATGTACTAAAATATAGAAAGTAGTCATTTGTGAAGTGCGCTAATCATTCTTGTATATACTAGTATATACAAAGCTTAGTAAATGTGTACTAAAATGTACTAAAAATTATTAGCACATTTATACAAAAGTTACGCAAGACACATGTAGCTTAAATGACCTAAATAATATTTGTACTATTTTTAGAACATTTTTAGACCATGCTTGGAACATTTTTAGAACACTTTTCTATATTAAATATCTAAATTTATACTTCTTATTCTTCTGCCACAGAAACTTTTCGTAGCCGCACTCACCCTCTGCCTGGTGGCCTTTGCCGCTGCTCAATCCGCCGATCCCGCTGTGCAGGATCCCTCGGTTGAGTATCTGCCACCCGTTGGCGATGCTGAGGCCGCCGCCTTGTCGGAGGATGGCTACCGTTATAAGACGGTGCGCCGCTTGAGACTGCGCCATCGCCGCGAAGTGCCCAGCCAGGAGTATCTGCCACCCACTCAGGAGTATCTGCCGCCTGTGGAAGGCGTTGAGGCTGTCGACACCAAGGTCGCTGATGATGGCTACCGTTACAAGACCGTGCGCAAGCTCAAGTTCCGTGCCCGTCATCGTCGCGATGTCTCCGAGATTGCTGAGCCCTCCAGCGAATATCTGCCCCCTGTCGATGTGGAGCTGGCCCCCGAGCTGAAGACCGTCCTGGGCGCTGATGGCTACCGTTACAAGACCGTGCGCAAGCTCAAGTTCCGTCGCCATCGTCGCGAGGCTGAGGCTGAGGATGCTGCCGCCGCTGAGGCCACCAACGAGTACCTGCCCCCCGCTGAGGCACCTGCTGCCGATGTTGCTGAGGTCAAGGCTGCCGATGTGCCCGCCGAGGGCACCGAGGTTGGCAAGGATGGCTACCGCTACAAGACCGTCCGCCGCATCCGTTACCGTTATCGCCATTAAGCTGCTGCCGCTGCCGCCGCTGAATTCCCGAACTTAGGCATATTGAACCAAATTGATCCTGATAGTACACAGAGTGTGCCAGCCGAGCAATGGAAGAGTTTCCTTCATGGCTAGTTTCCAATTGCTTGGCTCCCACTCGATACGAACTTTTGCTTTTTAATTAATTTCCTTTTAGTGTTTTTTCATTTATATCCCTCAAAAGCATATGGAATAATAAAGTTTATTCATGAAAAAAAAAGACGGTCTTTTCATTCCTTCATGCATTCATTCACTCATAGATTCACTCAATCATTCATTTCATTCATACATTTACACATTCATTTATATATAAACACTCATTCATTCATTAATAAATATATTCAGTCAATCATTCATTCATTCATTATTTCATACATTCATTCAATCATTTATTAATTCAAACACTCTTACAATCATTCATTTATTCATACATTCAAACAGTTATTCATTCAATCATTCATTCATATATTCACTCAATCATTCATTTTTGCACTCTTGCATTCATTCATAAATTCAAACAGTCATTCATTTTTTTCATTTATTCATTCAATCATTAATTTCTGCACTCTTGTATTCATTCATAATTTCAAACAGTCATTCATTTCATACATTTATTCATTCAATCATTCATTCATTCATCCATATACACATTTATTCAGCCATAGACTTATATATTTATATCATTTCTTTTCGCAATATTCAATAAATTTGCAAAGCATTTGAAATAGATCCAATTTGTTGGCCCCTAAAGAGAATTTGTGCCTGCTCCATCATCCATTAATATAATCATCATCAACATTACGAACCTTATTGCAGTCGAGTTGTCTCTATTTGTGATACCAAAAAATCAAATCAAAAAATTTTTTTTTGCCAAATTGCGCATTAAAATGGCAGCCAAAGAGGCCAAGAAATAAATACAGCTAAAAAGGAACAAAACGGACAGACAAAGGCAGCCAATAAGAAGCAAAAATATAAAAAAATTGGTATTGAAATCAATGGACAAGTAATGGCCAACAGGCAGCGAGAAGCGAACAGCAAAAGCGAGAAGCGAAACTCTCGCTCGAGAAAAACTTTTGGCAAATTGCAAAATTCTATTTAGAAATGAAGTGTTTGCTTTTAGGCGCAGCAGCAGTGGCAGCGGCGCTGAGTCGAGCAGGCAAAGTGCAACGACTCAACGAGGGCCTTCACTTTCCGCCTCTAACCCCCAGTCCCAGACCCTCTCAAGCTTCTTTCGTTAGTTTTCGGTCAACTTTTCGTAATATTATTTTGCATTTATTTGCACAGCGTTCGCATTTCTTTGTTTTCTTTCATTGCTTTTGCTCCAAAAATAATCAAAAAAAAAGGAAAAATGAAAATAGAAAACTACGTAGAATTACAAGATGGCAGACGGTGCACAACTTTCCTCTTGCTCTCTTCCGGCCAAGTTACGTAATTGAGCGCTTGACTTTGTGGAGCAGCGGCTTGAAAAGGTTGAACGGCCAAAAACCTTCAGATTCTCTATGAATCTGAATTTTACAAATTGTTTTGCATAGTTTTTATTCGTTCTGATAAACTGTTTAGAACATAAAGCGAAGCTAATTAAAAGATGAAAATTAGTTTTATTAAAGGTACAGCTGAAAGGGTAGAAAATTACCTAATTATGATATTTTATATAGGTCTTGACTTAGTTAATGGTATTATATATATATGTAACAGTTTTTTTATTTATAAAAATTGTATCAACTAAAAAAGGACTTGAAATTGAAATAATATTAATAAGTATTCGTATAAACTGGAGTAGTGTAAGCAATTCTTGATCTCTACTTAAATTTCAATGCAAATAAAAATTAGAAAACTACAAAAATTAAATAATTTAATTCAACATTTAAATAGATCAATTTTGTATTTTATTTTACATATATAAAATTAATTATATTACTATATGTTCTAAATTTTTTTTTATATTTTAGCAAAATCAAAATGAATATTTAAATATATTCCTGTATACCATACAAAAAGAAATTTATATTTGATTTATTTTTATTTTATTTTTTATATTTTATTTTATCTTCTTTAAATAAATTTCTTACAACTTTTTTATGTTTTTTTCAATAATGTTCTCTGTTTCTCAAAGATATTTTTTTCTGAAACAGCTATAACAAATTTAAATGCAAAACTATTAATATTTCTATGCTGAAACTTAAATAACTCTATGATATGCACGCCCTAGAGGTAAGCAGCTTAAATTTCCAATCAGATTCGATTATGGCCAGCAACAAAGGCGAAAGGCTAGGCCCGAGCTGGCCAACCATTTGATCAATATGGCCTGGGGGTATTCGAGCTACGCTAAATCCAATTAAAATCAAAAGACAAAATCATTTGTGCCCGGCGTGTAGCGTAAACAATTAAGACGCTTGACTGCGACTGTGGCATGTGGCAAATGGCATATGGCATGTGGCAGGTTCAACAAGAAATTTAATGCAACTGAATTTGAATTTGCCTGCGAACTTCACAACTAATTTCATTTGTGGCGGCTCCTAATTGCAATGTGCCACAAAAGATGCAACAGCCACTGTAGCAGCTTAAGTAAATTATCATATTTGTTTTGGAATTCAAAATTAATTACTTAAATAGCTGAAACATAATTATGCACAGAGCTTATGGAAAGCCTTTGGCGTTTATCTCTGCTCATTTGGCTAACTGTCAAACGGTAGCGAAACGTTGCATGTGCCACACGATAATATTTAAATGGATTCTTAATGGAAGCACAAACAGCTGCGCCGACGACTCAACAGATAAATCTGACAATCAAAAACTGTGTCTTTCAACAGAGAGTCTGTCGATTTATGAGTCAAAGTCCCAAGTCCCAAGCCCCACGCCCCACGCCCCAAGCCTCTGGCCGGCTTTGCCTTTAAATACTTCACCTCAATTTGCAAGCAAATGGCAGAGAGATATAAATTGGAAAAATACCCAAGTACTTATTACTCACTCATTGGGCACTACTTCTCGGGGCCAGGCTCAAAATGGAAAAACTGGAAAATTGAAAAAAGAAAACGTATTGAAAGCTAGCAAAGTTGCCCATGTACCAAGCGTAATATTAAATAATTCATTCACAAGTTCTCAACTTGCCAAACTTTTGCCCCTGGGTAAAGTTTTCTCTGTATTTGACTTTCGACTATTTCCATCAGTTTTTTTTTGCTGCCTTGATGATGTTGTTCTTGTTTCCAATCGCTGCTAATTGGACCCAGCTAGGCCAGAGATTGAAATAAATGACAAGTAAATGGTCAAGAAATGGCTAAAAATCAAACAGCTATTAAAATTCTTGGACCGCAAACTCAAATGGTTCACAAAGACAGAAAGTAGTAGAAAGAAAGCGCAGTTAGTAGTAGAAAAATGCATTGGGAACTCAATGTTAAGTAGTTAAAATTTATTAATTAAAGAGTTCAATGTTGGCCAAGGCTTCGAGCTAAATGAACTGGTTCCTAAAGAGAAAAGTAGTAACTAAAGTTATTTAGTAGTAGCAATTACAGTTAGTAGTAAACTAAAAGGTAGTGGAAGTAATTATATAGTAGCTAAATGATATGGATTGAATTTTTAAATGTTTTGTGAGCACTTAAGTCAAATGAACTAGTTCAAGATTAAAATAGTAGTAGAACGATCTGAAGTTAGTAGTAGAAAAAGTTCATTTAGTAGCAGAAAAAGTAATTGCCTATAGTTAGTTTAAATGATTGTTAGCATTTATTTAAAATTAACTGGTTAAGACAAAAATTGTAGAAGTAGTAGTTGTAGTAGTAGTAGTAGTAGTAGTAGTAGTAGTAGTAGTAGTAGTAGTAGTAGTAGCAGTAAATAAAAAAGTAGTAGAAAAATTTTAGTTGGTAGCAGAAAATTTAGTTAAACCACAATTGTAAATATGTGCATTAATAATATTGATTTAATGCTTAACTATTTGAGAGCCTAGCAGTCAACTGAAATAGTTCACAAAGATAAAGTAAGGCCATAGGCAATAAGTAGTGAAAATAGTAGTAGGAAATATTGTTGATTGAATGATGAGTGAATAGACCATAAATCAAACTGTTCTAACAATCTAAACTAACTATAGTAAAAATGTTTAGTTTTCTAGCTGCTGCGGCTCGGCTCATCAATCAATCAATCAATCAACACGGCAGTCAATCAGTTACAATAAACAACTTTTATGTGCGCATAGTTACATGCATACATATATGTAAATAGTCGTACCGCATGTAAGATTTGCATTGTTGTTAATTAATCTCATTCAAAATGTTGGACCGTGTGTCGAGCGCTGTACGCTTCATCAGCATCAGCACACACACACACACACACACACATGCAGATATGCATGTTGATAAGTGTAACAATGGGAATGGAGGGTATGAAATGATGGACATATGACTGCAATGGCCCACAGAGCGAACGATTGATAAATACGAATGCCGACGTCGACGTCGACGTCGACGACGGCGTCGCAGTAACGTATGTAACTTATTTTTCAAACCAGACGACGACACAAGCAAAAAGCAAATAACAACTGCGACAGCATCGTCTGAGGCAGCGGCAGCGGCATCGGCGGCAGCGAGTAATAAAGTTGATTGCAGGCAGTACCAAGCAGCAAATTGAATGTCTGCGTGGGTGTGTGTGTGTGTGTGTATGTGTGTGCCTTTGTATTTGTTCGCATTGTTAAATGTCAGCAACAGAGACACAACCAAACGCAAGAGAGCAGCTCTGAGCGCGCTCGCTCCCACGCCAAATGCAAACAGGCCATTGTTAACGGTAGCCTCAGTGTGAGGCCTCTGCCAATCGCAGACTCTCAGCGCCTGCTACCAATACACACATTTAATGAATTTGGTTCTATCCATCCAGCAGCCAAGGGCAAACGCAACCCTCGCGCTCTCACTCAATTGCCGCTGCTCTCTGTGGCTATGGCTGTGGCTGTGGCTGCGCTCTTCAGCTGTTTGCTGCTTGTTGCTTTGTTTTTGTTTTGTGCACTGCGTGGTGCTGCTGCTGCTGCTGCTGCGTCTTTTGCTGCTCTTGCCAATCTTGGGCATTATCGATTTTCTTTTGTTTATAATGCTCACTCACAGATTTGTTTGTTGTTCCTGTCGGCGCGCGCCCCTTTCGCTTTGTCTTGAGTTTTTGGTTTCTTGTTTATTTGCGTTTACCAAGCACCAGCGCGTCCGCTGATAAGCAGAGAGGCGCGGGCGTTCTATTCATATCTGGTGCAGATATGTAGAAGATTTATGGCTGGCAAAAATTATGTCTCGAGTATTATGTAAATATTTATTCGCCTAATGATCAGTGGTCTGACAATTGCAGTTGATTGACTTACAGAAGTTTTACGTGCCTTATAAAGGTTAATATTTTAAAATGAGATTATATTATATATAATGTATAATAATTTAATATAACAAAAGTATTAAATTATAGTTTCAATTTGTCTAAATTCCTGTGAAGCATATACTGAAAGAATGAGAAGAACTTAAAAAAATAGATTTTATCATATTTTTTATATTTTAAATTATATCTAATTTATTACATTACAATTTCAATTTACAGAAAAAAGTTTAACATTTAATTATAAATATATTAATTATTGATTTTATTATATCTTTTATAATTTGATTATAAAATTACAGTTTTCATTTGAGATCTTAACTAATTTCCATACAAACTGCACCTATAATTCTAATTTATGTTCAGTGCTTAAATTGAACGGATAACTTAACAACTAGTTGAATAGAGTAGCAGAACAATATCGCAGCAGCTCCTGTTTCATATATCACTCTCTACCTCTCATTTTCGCCCTCTCGCTCTCTCTTTAGTGGACAGCACACGTTGCTAGGTTTATTGGCAACAGCACACAGCAAAAGTTCACCCAATTGTTTACATCAGCAGAATGCTGAGCAAAAAGCATCCTCTCAGCATTAGCAACAGCCGCGGCAGCAGCAACAACAACGACAAATAAGAGCAAGAGCCGAACGCAGCCCCCAAAAACAACGCGTGGGTCTCTCGTGCTCTCTTTGCTCGTTGCTCTCTTCGTCTATCTCTCGCTCGTCGTTTGTTTCGTATTGCATACACGAACAAAAACATTGGCAGAGCGCAGCGGGCAGAACGTCGCTCTCTATGTGGCTTACGTGCGCTCAGCAGTGGCTGCTGCGCCGCCAATTTGCAAGAAAATTTAAGTTCGTTTACAGTTGGTTTTGTGGGGAAGTTGTGAAAAACAGCGACGCACAGCAGTTGCTGCTGCCAAGAAGCGTTGGCAACAAAGCGTTGGGCTGTCGAACAGACACACCGATACACACACACACGCGGAAACAGACAAATGTATAAATATAATAAACAATTTAAATTAATAATATACGAATATCAATTGAGCTTGCAATTGTGCTGCTGCGTGTGTGTGTGTCTGTGCGTGTGAGTAGTTGTAGTAGTTGTTGTTGTTGCCGCTGTTGCTGCTCTCGCTGCGTCCGCCCGCTTGTTGTGTATACACACACACAGACACGCTCACTGCAGCTGTGTTTGTGAATTTTGTGGTACATTTTGCGCTCGCATCGTTTACAGATTTTTGTGGTGGCAAATAGTTGTTGCATAGCCTTCATACAACACACAGCAACAATTACTAACACTGCGACAAGTGGCAGCAACCGAGCTAACGACCGAGCAACCAGCAACAACAGCGTTTTGTTGTTTTGTTAATTGAAATAAATTGAAATAAATTCTCAACGTGCTTGCTCAAATTGTTAATAAACACAACAACAACAACAACAAAATAAATAAACAACAGCAATACAAAATCAAAAAAAATTTGTGAACTAAAAAAGTTGTTTTTAGTTGCTTGCGCGGCGCCAAATGCTTAAGTTTCAAATTGATGAATAAAAATGAAATAAATACAAAGAAAACCGAAAAAGTTTAAACAAATCCAATTGGAATTCAAGCAAGTGCAAGTGTGTACACAAATTGTTTTAATTATATCAATTATAATTTAGACACTTTTTTTATATATTTTTTGTTGGTATCAGCAAAACGGCAAATCTTTTGCGTATTTTTAGACTTTCTGCATGTCTCTGTGTGTGTGTAAATATGTGTATATGTGTGTGTGCATTGCAGCACAAAATTGAAAATTAGTTGAAACGAGAAATTGGCAAATAACAAAAGCTAAAAAAACGCATCACAAATTAAAAGCTAAAGAGGCTGTCGCCTCTGGCAAAGCTGTTACGTAAGCAGCGAAGAGACAACGAAAGCGACAGAGCTGGCAACATACAGGTAGACAGCGAGAGAAAGAGAGAGAACAATAGAGAGAGAGAGAGAAAGAAAGAGACAAAAGCAAAGCTGCTTTAAGGATTGGTAAGACGCAGAAGAACTTGCTCCATTTAGATAAGCTGCTTATCATATTTTATAGATCACTTAATATTCTATAATTTCTTTTTGTTAGTTTTAGCGAAAAAACTTGTCTTTAATCTCTGTCAATCAACAATGAATATTGAGAAAATATATTAAAGAAATTTATATATAAACAAAAGATAATGTGGAATAGTTTGAATTATATTACAAATACAATATATTCAATTTTAATGTAATGAAATATATTTTAACCTTCAATCAGTTTTCAGAAATTGCATTCAATGAATATTTTATATACATTCAATTAATATTTTTCTAAATAAAATATACTCCAGATGCTGCTCATTTATAGTAGCATGTTTAAGCATTAAAAATATCAAAATATGCCACATCTGACATTTCAATCAATCAATAAATTTTTTCATATACAGTGGACACTTTTTGTAACTTATTTAAATTACCAAAAATGCCCTCTTGTCATATTATACAAATACCAACTCTCAATCACCTATGTTCAAACAATAAATACTCTTTCAATCACTTATCTTCAATCAATCAATCACTTTTAAATTATGATGCAGCTCTTGTTGCCGTATCTAATAACTACTATTAAGCTAATTATTTTAAATATTATTTTGATTGATACATTGTATCAATCATTTATCTGCCAGCTCAATCAGTCAATCATTTAATACATTACTCACTTATTGAATTGTGCTTCACTTCTAGATATGTAATTAAGATTTCCCTTCTAACGTATAACACCCACTCAGCTGATCCACAAGCGATACACCACTTTATATATATATATATATATATATATATATATATATTTATATATATATGTGTGTGTGCATATGTTTATGTATATATAGCATGTATGTACCTGCACATTCTCGACCACAACGCTTCAATTCTGGGAATGCGAAGCCAGAACGTTGCAAATGTTTATTTTATGCGATTTTTTGTTTGGCTAACTTATAATTGTACTTTGTTTGTGCGAAGTACTTAGACAGCTATATATATATATAGCATATATATATCTATGTATGTGTATAGAAGAATATGGTTTTCAGCCTATAATTTTCACCTGCCATTTGCTTGACAAATTGGTATTAAATATAAATTTTGTATTAATAATTGTTGCGGTTTGCTTAATAAATGCTGTACTTGTTCCAAGTTTATATACATATGTTTTATGTACTATTATTATTAATATTTTTAGTATTTTACCTTATGAACATATTAAAGATAGAGTTGGCATTAATTGCAATATTTTTATAAATATGATAATGAAGAAATATTTGACAATTTAAAGTTAAATTATGCTTAAATAACTTTCTGTATAATTTTACGTATTACCAAAAAAATACTTAAAGTTTGCAACTCCTAATTAAATAAACCAAATTAAATTCATCATCCGACCCTTCAATCAATCAAGTTCTACAGTTATTAACTATCATAGCTAACAGTTCATAGTTCATAGTTTTTGCAGCTTCTTCCCTTTCTCACATTGAATTTTATATTGATTTTCAAACTGTTTTGCATAGTTGTTGCAGTTGATTAGCCGCGCTGCCTCCCGCTCTACCCCCTGTAAAAGCTCGAGCTTTGCCGTTGCATTTCTTGCACGTCTCAAAAACAAATAACTCTCTGTCAAAAATCCCTAACCATCTATTCTGGGCCATTCAGTTCATTGAACTTGGAGCTCAGAAACAATGTTCAAAGCGCAACTCAAACCACAAATATGAAGTGTCCGAAACGTTGCATACTTTTCGGCCAGTTTACCATCAGGGCAATAAACAGGCAACAAATAATATTAACGATTTTCTCACTTCACACACAGCATCTCGAAACGGCCAAGGGACACGCACACACACACAGCCGGAAACACGTGTGTGTGTCATGCGCAGTGGACACTTTGGTAATGCCAACAAAAGAGGCCACAGCAACAACAAGAAGTTAAGAGACTTTTAAGAGTAAGAGCGAGAGAGAGAGACAGACAGAGACAGAGACAGAGACAGTCATATAGCTAGCGAGATGGCCTTCTCGCGACACAACATCGAAAAGCGCCGACTCATCGAGCTAGTTCGCCTCAATCCCATCTTGTGGGACTGCCGCCTGCCGCACTACAAGCGCTCCGACAAGAAGAAGGCCGTCAAATGGAACGAGCTGGGTCGCATGTTCAACGTGAATGGGGAGCGGGTGCAGCGCACCTTTACCTCGTTGCGGGAGATCTTTCGGCGCGAGCTCAATCACGAAAAGATGCTGGGCACAACGCGCTTCAAGTCCAAATGGGAGTATTACGATGCCATGGCCTTCCTCAAAGAGGTCATCAGGGAGCGAAAGTGAGTACAAATGGGCTCGATTAGATGATGTCCATTAGAACTGGCTTTCTATATCAAGCTAGATGCGATTTTATAAGTATTCCAGTTTTTTTAAATTAAATAATTTATTAATAAATTAATATTTAAAGAAATACTTGTATCTATTTATCTGCAATCTTAACAAATTATTTTGTTTGTTGAGATCAATAATAATTCTCTGCTTGGACTTTGCTATTTGGAAGTTGAAATGTTTCTAGAGTTATATATATAAATATATATTTATAAAAAATATATTCATAAATATATAATATATACAAAAAAAAAACAAATCTGTAAATATTAAAAATTAATAATTTTATTTCAGCTAAATTATTTATTTAACTCAAAGTAAATTTATTAATATACATATTTTCATCTTCTCAGATCTCGTGAGCGCATTAAGCAACCCGCTGCAGAGAGTACAATCCACAACAACAACAACACAAACAGCAGCAATAACAACAACAACAATACAAATATCAGCAGCAACAGCAACAATAACAACAACAACAGCAACACAAGCCGCAGCAGCAACAACAACAACGCGAACAACAACACCAACACCAACAACAGCGTAGCCCACGATGAATATCAATACTTTGCGCCCAGCGATCCAAACAATCCCAATAATCAGCCAATCAAAGCACCTGAAAACCAGCCAAGCATTAGCCAGTTACCTGTGGGGCTGCAGCAACAGGCGCAGCATTTGCAGGCGCTGCAGCTGCAGCCAGATGTGACTCTGACATCGTTGCAGAAGGCGCCATCAGCTGTTGTACTGCCTTTGTCTGCGGCAGCCGCACCTTGCCCCACATCACCGGCAGCACCTGTGCAGCTGTGTGGCAGCTCCCGCTCCTGTAGCAGCTCACCTTCGATTTACATCAAGGACGAACCCGATTCGCCTGACTTGCAAGAGCTGCCCGATGAGACGAATACCAGTCGATCCGCCCAGAAGTCGCGGCCACATTCCAAATTGGCCACGATACGACCGCAGACAAAGCAGCAGCTGAAAGCACGTCTACAGGTAGCCAAAGGTGGGCTGTATGCCACGCCTCCGCCACATTTGATTATCAATACAAACAACGAGCTGATCGATGTGGATGCTGGTGATCTGGACGACGACGACGACGATCTGGAGTACGATGACGACGACGATGATGACGATATCGATACTAATCATCGTGGTGACTGCCCGCCCAATGCAAATATTAGTATGCTGGGTGCAGGCGGGCGACTCTCACCTGGCAGCAGCTTCACAGGTGCCGGCGCTGCCAGTACACGGCATCAGCCCACGCACCGAGAGCTGCTCTACATAAAATTTGGTGATTTTCTTGCCGCACGACTGAATACCCTGCACGAAACTGTTGCCAACGAGTTGATGAACAAAATTTTACTGCTAATTGCTGAGAAGTGAATGGAGAGAGGAACAAGAGGACCAGCAACTGGTCAAGTGGAACAAGAGATCAAATCCGTGCTAAATAGGTAAGTGAAGCAAATTGTATTGGGAGAGTTGACTGGATTCCATAGGTCAATAGAGAGAAAGAGCTTTAAGACTGTAAGGCGTATTAAAGCTCAGTTTGGATGCTAATCAAAATTATGAATAACAAAAGCTCTTTTAATATGCTTAAAAAAAAACTGTTAAAAGCTTTGGTTTGACTGTTAAAGGAACAATTATGATCTGATTCCTTAAAATATTATAAAGCTGTACTTAACTATATTCAATATTATGTTAAAAAAAATTGAAAGATCTATGCAAGCTTAGTACAAATCCTTTCTATCTATATCGCACTGCCTTAGAGTTGAGTTCGAAATAATTTTAAGCTCTATTAAAATACTTTGCAGATCTCTTTGAAGCTGTCAAGCTTCAACAATGGAAAGTTTTTCTAGCTTGAATGCTACTAGGCTCTGTTGAAGAGCTTTAAAGTTCTGTTGCTTTGCAAGGCAATATTTTAAAAGGTTCAAAGATTATTGCATAAAAGTTATTATAATAAGAGCAATATGTATATTTGAAAGCTTTTTTAAACTAATAATAATATTAAAGCTAATGCTGAAAGAAGAATGCTTTTTTAATAGCTTAATTATTTTAATTAAAATTATTATTATAAGATATATTTTTTTTAATTTTTAGCATTCAAGCTAAAGTTGATAAAAGTTCTTTGAGTTCTCAAAGCTTACTTGGACAAATGTTTTTATGCATTTTTTCCAGTTTTATTGCCCGCTCAATCATTTAACGCTCAAATCCTCGTTTTTTTCGGATTACTTTTAACTTACATTTGTTGGACCCTAGAAAATCCTTGTAAAAACTAGTTAAGTTCTACAAAATTTATTAGTTTGACCAATTTGTGTGGTCGCCACTTGACTTCGTTGCAACTTGCAACAATATATTTAAATTTATATATACTTTTTTTCTCTCTTGTACACACAACATGCCAAGACCATAAAAAAGTTTTAATTTCCGAATGCTGAAGTGGCCCAGACACAGAGAGAAGCAGCAGCAGCAGCTCCACATGCCACACATTCGCGCTGCAAGTTGTCCGAAAATGTAAAAGCTTTCACGCATAAATAAAAAACTGCCCCAGGCTATGTATGCAGCATGCCAAGTGAATGAAAGCCAATAGTTACCAAGTCGAGCAATGACCAAGGCAGTATATATAGCTATGTATATGTATATAATAATGATATAAGTAATAGTGCTCTAGTCGGAAGTGACTGACTAAAAGATATCCTTCATGCAGCGAAGAGGGAGATGATGAGGGCACAGTACCTAATCTGTATATAATCAGTGAGGTACTTTGATGATGATAATGATGATAACGATGATAATGATGATAATGATGATAATGATGATTATGATGATAATGATGATAATGATGATAATGATGATAATGTTGATAATGATGATAATGATGATAATGATGATAATGATGATAATGATGATAATGATGATAATGATGATAATGATGACAATGATGATAATGATTATAATGATGATAATGATGATAATGATGATAATGATGATAATAATGATAATGATGATAATGATAATAATGATGATAATGATGATAATGATAATAATCATGATAATGATGATAATAATGATACTGATAATAATGATAATAATAATAATAATGATAATTATGATAATTATGATGATAATGATAATAATGATAATAATGATAATAATGATAATAATGATAATAATGATAATAATGATAATAATGATAATGATAACAATGATAATAATAATAATAATGATAATGATAATAAAGTTAATAAGGATAATGATAATAATGATAATAATGATGATAATGATAATAATGAAAATATGGATAATAACGATAATAATGATAATAATGATAATAATGATAATAATAATTAATGATAATAATGATGTTTATGATGATTATCATTGTTAAATGTTTACTCTAGCAGTCGAGACTCTTCTAGTAATGCTAAATAAATTATGTTCCTTCGTTGCCTATTGATATGTTACTGACATATGGCATTGGCATATCGTGCTCATCATCATAACTGTCATAAAATATGATCATTAATATTATTAAAAATAATTATGAACATCATTTGCAATTTCAATTTGAGCACTGGGATTTTTTAAAATCGGCTTACGTTATTATTCATTATTAATATTTAGGCAACATTATTATTTTTATGTGTTTATATTTGTATATACATACATATTATATTATATATATATTCTATATATTTAATTTTATATCCGCATTATATAGGACAGCCACCTGCTCAAACAAGCTCAAGGTCTAATCTCGACTTGCAGGTCTACAAATTTGAAAAGAAAATAAAACAGAAATGAAGTTAGAACAAAGACAATAATTAAATATTAAAAACTGCATATCATGTTTATATAGTATAATATCATATTAAATATATTTTAGATTATGCCAATTTCCAATTCACAACTTTTTCTTCTTCTATTTTATATTCCATGACAGATAACATTTTTATAAATTGTTGTTATATATATATTGTTGTATATATGCATTTTTAATATAATATATTTTTATTCATTGTCAGGCCAGAAATTAAATATAAGATGTTTCTTCATATATATTTATATATTTTATAATTTTAGTCTATAAACTATAGCAGCTATATTTCGCACACAAACCTTGTTTTGGCCGGCCTGAAAGCTGGCTGAGCCGCAAGATCTATGAGTTAAGTGTAGCTGCAGCTGTGCGAATGACTTCACACAACACACAAACATAGTTTACACACACACACACACACTGTACACTTAGCTTCACAAGTTTTGGGCGTGTGTATTTACGATTTTGTAATATTTATGCTGTGACGCTTCTGGTGTCTCTGTATGTGTGTCTGCCTGCGTCGATGTGGCTTTTCCGTCAACTCTCAGCAGCTTCCCTCTTTCCTCCCCGTCCGCTTCCACAGTCATTGCTATCTGGTATCTATGGCAACAGCTTTACGAGCTCAGCCTTAATTCTGGGCAGCGGCAGCGCACTAAGCGGCACAGTGGGTGGCTTACGAGTGTGTGCGTGGCCTTTTATAGATAGTTTCAGCAAGTTTGTTGGCACTTACAACATTATAAATTTGCCATAAATTATCGTTATATGAAATGCAGCGAGTCGCTGATAGGGCAAACAGTAGCGGAACTTTGATTCAAAAAACTGCGCACAAAACACAAATTTTATTATGCTAACGAGCGTATAAAATATGAATAGAGAGAATGAACGGGAGAGGGAGAGAGACTGAGAGAGATCGGTGGATATAGTGAGATATTTATATAGAAAGTTAGAGAAAGAGAAAGAAAGAGATAGAGAGAGAGAGAGAGTTAGGGAGAGAGATATACAGTCTAGAGAAGGAGAGGGATAGAGTGAGAGATGTTGAGAGAGAGAAGAGGAGAGGAAAGAAAGACAGAGAGAGAGAGAAAAATAGAGTCAATGAGGGTTGTATTGCAAGGAGAGAATTAGAGATAGGTTAAGTAATAGAGAGACAGAAAGAGAGAGTCAGATAGAAATAGTGTGAGAAATGAGAGAGAGAGAGAGATAGAAATCAAACTAGAGTGAAAGGGAAACAGAGAAAAAGTGAGAGAAATAGAGAGAAGAGAAGGAAAGAGTGAGGTACAGATGGAGAGAGATTTAGACAGAGAGGAGGAAAGAGAAAGAGAAAATATAAATAGAAATAGAAATAGAGAAAGAGTCAAAGAAAGAGAGAAAAGAAAAGATGGGAAGGCAGAGATAGCATATAGCTTAGCAAAATATAGGAATTTACTCAGTACTTTTAATAAAATATAAAATATAAAATATATAAATAAAATTTTAGGAGAAAAATATAATCTAAGATCAATGCCGAAATTTCTACACCAAAACTCAATTCCCTCGACGCATATGTGCCTTGATTATATATTCTATTATATATTTTACTATATATCATTCGAATGCATCCTCCCGTTCTGTTCATATATATTCGGGCTATACATTTCGTCTCTGTTGCTTTCCGTGCCAGCATGCTAGTTGCAACACTTCCTGCTACTCGTAAGCTATTTTTAACATTTTCCTGTCTTTAGTAATCACAGTTGGCTACAATGTCGAAGGCGTTAGATAAACGCGTCTGGCTACATGCGCCTGCCGTTGGTTGGCTGTGAAGCTGCGAATGGCGCGCCGAAGTTAGGAAATTTTGTTGCATTGCCCGCGGCGTTTAGCCCTTTGCACATAAAATTGCATATGCAACTTAATGTTTACAATGGTCGTAAAAGTTTAATGGATTTTCTAGCTGCTGCGAGCAGGGCGCAGCAGTCAAAAGCTGTACCTCGCCCCGCTACCACAGCTGCTCGGCTCAGCCTAAACTTTTGTAGCCATAATAAAAACGCATTTATTTGATTAATACGTTGCAGTTTTTTTTGTGCCCCAAAAAACTATGACTAAAGCATTGCCAAATATTTGAGAAAATCCCAAGTTTTTTTGAATTTCATTTTTCATTTATTTAATAATTTAACTCGGACTAACTTTAGGTTTGCTTGCAGTTATGACCAATCAGATATAATTTTGACTAAGCCCAAATCCTGCTACTAAAATATACTTGTGGCAAACAGATATTAATTCGAATTTATTACATACGTAAATGGCTTTGTTCCAGCTCCTGCCTTTGGCTAATCAAATGCAAATTTGTATACACTCATTATTGAATGGGATTTCAACGAGCAAGTCAATTGCATGCATTAGCATTAGCATAATTATAATTGTATGCTGGACAGCAAAAACCTGGCCAGTGCCATTACCCGAGAGCTAAGATAAGAGACAGGCAGCATGCAACATGGTATAGATAGATAATTGAATGCAGGGAACCAATTCGATTTTGAGGCAGCACAAAAGGCAGCTTGCCACGAGTAGTATCAATATTGATTGCTATTAATATGGCCAAGTTATACAATAAGCAGTCAATGCCAGCTCTTGGGTTATTCATGCTACACACACACACAGGCACAC